TATTTCTGAGTTAACACACAATGACAAACCACATATCGCACAGAGATGAAAGCAGCACAGGGCATAGTGGTTTAGAATGTAGCCTCTGGAGCCACGTCAAATAATGGTTTTGTGGACGTAAGCTAGTTGGGTTCCTTGGTGTAAGATACTTAAACCTCCCCTTTTTAAAAATTTCATCTATAAAACTGGGGTTTTTATAGTAATCTTATCTCACAGGATCATGAGAATTGAATGAGTCAGTACATAGGAAGTCCATGCAATCAGAATGGTACCTGCAGTATAGGAGCACTAGAAAGAGCTGGCCGCTACCACCACCACCACCACCACCATCATAGTTCGTTAGTTGCTCACATTATACCCCCTGTCTCATGATTAGGCTCTTTTCCCTCCACAGGTGCCTGGATTCTTATTCATCTATGCTGGAATTGAATCGTGAGGTAAACCCAGCAACTGCACATCTCAAAGTTGTATGAGTTCGTATGACTGGCTCCCTTGTGGAGAAGCAGCAGAACGAAGAACTGTAAGAAAGTTTAATGGGCAACCACTAAGCAAGGTAATTACAGAATATTTTAGAATCCACTGCTTACTTTTTGTTTAGATAGTATGTGAAGAGGCACCACCACCACCTCAACCTTAGCACCTACCCCATCTCTGCCACACCCTCCAGTGAAGACGCACCACCACGCCATTCTGGACCATTGGAAAATGGAGTGAGGAGATTAGACTGCCTGATCAGATTTCTAGCGGGACTTTGAGACTGGGCACCTCTCCATGCTCTTCCATGAGCTGTGCTGTTTTCCAGGAGCTGTCATGTGAGAAACCTTTTATCCAATATTTCAATTTTCCTTCATTGCAATTACAACAGGGAGGGGGAAATTCCTTAGCATCCCATCTTTTGCCATTACCTCTTGATGAAGTTTCTTCCTCTGAAAAAATGGTATTGATGTTTATCTCATGATGCAGATGTGAGAATCAAGTAAAATATATTTTCAAACAGAATAATTTTTATCTTATGTAATAATTCTTTAAATCTGTGCTGTAATTGCATACTTACTGGCTTTATCCTTGCTGAGGGATAGAGGACTACCCTTCATTTCTGTCTCCTTTAATACCTGGCATAGTGTCATGCATGCATTAGAACTATTTTCACTCATTCGACAAATATTTGTTGAAGATCTCAGATGCACCACTCTCTTGGGTTCTGTGTTTAACTGTAATAAACAATCAACTCCTGCTTTGCTTGATGAAAATTTGCTAAATTGACCTTTTCAGTTGTACTGACCATGTATTCAACTTATAGACAAGACTGTAAAATGCATCTTATTCACCTCCAGCAGTGCCAGGAAGTGTACCTGGGCAAACGACACAACCAGCCAGCCTAAACCTTCTGATTGAATGGGGACAGAGATACATTAGATGGCACCTGAGATGGTGCGAGGGACATGGTCTTTACTGAATGTGCCAACATACCATTGAACACATGTCCATGTGGTGCTCAAAGATGGGTATTTTCTTTAAAAGTCTGTCTCATCCATAAGGGTAGTATTTGTGTATTTTTTACCTTTGCATTACCCTCTGCCTTCAGAAATAGTTCAATGCCTGAATTTAGGAGGTGCTCAATAGAGTAATTACAAATAGAATGAAATAGTGGAGAGAGGGTATATTTTTTAAACAGTAAAACTTTTTACTGGTTACTATAACAAATATTTCAAAAATATAGCCACTGATTGCTTTGTTATTCATTGCGCAGATACTGAATGAATGCCTAAGAGGTACTATTCTTAACCACGCTAAGTGTTATCATGGATAATACTGTGCTATCTCACTGATACATACTACATTGGAATGTATTATTCTGTTTTTCTCTTTTCTGGGGTTTCTAAGACATCTAGAGGCAAATAAATGGGAAACAGGTTCTGTGAAGGTCAACCAAATTATGGGAAAGATTCACTTTCAGTGTTCGTTATCACTAGCCAAAAAGTTGTATTTGGTTTAGTTTATTAAATCCATACCTATGGATTTTCCAAGTTTGCATCTTCCAATATAAGTTAAATTAAACCTTAAACACTGGGGCAGGGGGCAGCAGGTCCTAAAAAGCAGCCAGCTGTCCCAGCAGAGCAGGCTGCTATCCCTGGAATCACTGCTCATTCTATACTTGAACTTAGTTTAACATCCAGCTGGTTGAAAAATTAGACTGGTAACCAGCTTATTGTATACTTTTTGGGAAATCTTGTCATTAAAATTGTTTTAAAATGCATCCTTTACTGACAGTTATAAATTCCGGCAGCTTTCCTGCATGACACACTACTGCTGAAACCATACCTAAATTTTAATGAGTCTTAAGTAAGTGTAATCGGAATAAGCATTTATAAATAACTTGGTTATATCAGAAAGCTAGTTACTACTATAAAACACTACAAAAATGACTTTATTGGAATTAAACATATAAGAAAACAAGGATCCTGAAGGAAACTGATATATAATAAGAAATTCCTTAAAAAATCCCTTTGAAGAAAAGTGTTAAAAAAAATAACTGTCTTAGTCCATTTTGGCTGCTATAACAAAAATATTATAGACTGGATGCCTTATAAACAGCAAATTTATTTATTGCAGTTCTAAAAAAGTCCAAGATCAAGGCCCCAGCAGATACTGTGTCTGGTAAGAGCCAACTTCCTGGTTCACAGATGGCTATCTTCTCACTGTGTCCTCATGTGGCGGAAGGGGCAAGGGAGCTCCTTACCTTCTCCTTCATAAAGATACTAATCCATTCATAAGGGCTCCACCCTCACATTCTGATCATCCCCCAAGTCTCATCTCTAAATACATCACATTAGGGGATTAGATTCCAACATACTAATTTTAGGAGACACAGACATTCAGTCGATGGCATTCCACCCCTGGTCAGGACAAAATTCATTCATTTCATCCTAACAGCCAAAAAGTCTTAACTTGTTCCAAACTCAAAAGTCTGAAAGTCCAAAGTTGCATCTAAATCAGAAAGGGGTAAGAATCAAGGTATGAGTCATCCTGAGGCAAAGTCCTCTCCATCTAGGAACCTGCAAAACCAAACAAATTATGTGTTTCCAAGATAAAATGGTGGCACAGGCACAGGACAGACATTCCCATTCCTAAAAGGAGAAATAGGAAAGAAGAAAGGAGTGACAGGTCCCAGGTAAGTCCGAGACCACACAGCACAAACAACATTAAATCTTAGGGCTTAAGAATAATCTTTGACTTAAAGCTCTGTCTTTTGGGCCCATTGGGATGGCCTTGCACCCACAGGGCTCAGCAGAATGGCCTTCCCTGCAGAGACTCTCTACCTGGGCCCTGTGGATCTCCAGGACTGGGGTTCAAAGCCCAAGTTTTGCCCAGATGGCCCCTTTTGAAGCCAAGGTGAAGGCAGCCATACCCCCTTGACCTATGCACCATGAGATAAGGCCACATGGACCTGTACTCTCTGGACAGGTGACCAATGAAGTCCATGCCACACCAGGGCACACAAGAGCCACAGCTGGGGTGGCAGAAGCACATGGCAAGAGAGTGCAGAGAGCAAGGGCCCCCCATGTGAAGCAGTGCCAGGTACTGTGCAGAAAGTTCCCATTGGTATTGAAGGCCCTTCCTTTGAACCACTCAGCCCCCTAAGCCTTTGCATTACAGGCCTGTCACGGGAGAGGTGGCTCTGTTGACCACTGATGTGCCATCAGGGTCATTCTTCCACTGTCCTGGAGAAGAGTTCCCTGGCTTCTGTTCAGAAGGTTCGCTCACACTGATCTTCTTATCAGTACTTTGGCCATACCCTCAGTGTTCTCATTTGTTGCTATACGGATAGGCTGAAAATTTCCCAAGTCTTTACATTCTGCTTCCTTTTGCTTGCCAATTCTGCCTGTAAGTCGTTTCTCACTGCTTGCATTTTACTGTAAGTCAGAGGAACTAACTGCACCTTCAACACCCTGCTTAGAACTCGCTTCAGCTAAACATCCAGTTTCATCACTTGCCAGTTCTGTGTTCCACAAAACATGAGAGCATGAACATAATTCAGCCAAGCTCTTTGCCACTTTATGGTGAAGAGGGCCTCTCCTCAGGAACAGGTTCCTCATTTCCACCTGAGGCCTCATCAGAATGGCCTTAACCGCTCACGTTTCTACCAACATCCTGTCCAGGATTACTTAGCTATAAGAACACTGAGGCTTCCTCTACAGCTCTCTTTTCTATCGGAGCTCTCACCAGAATCACCTTTAAAGTTCTGTTAAGATATCGAGGCTTTTTTTTTTTTTTAGAATGCAACTCAAAATGCTTCCAGCTTCTCCCCATGACCCAGTTCAGTGCTGCTTCCACATTTTTGGGTATTTGGGACAGCAGCACCTCCAATTTCTGACTGAATACATTTGGAAATGTATAGTATATAAATGTATTCCAAATGAATACATTTGGAAATACTGTGGACTGGGTGGCTTAAACAACAAGTATTTCTCTCTGACTGTTCTGGAAGCTGGGAAATCTAAGACCAAGGTGCTGGCAGGTTATAAGGACACTCTTCCTCCTGCATGACCCAACACTGCCCCAACATCATACACTGGGGTAAATTCTTAAGTTTGGGGTGTGGGGAGGGATACAAGCATTCTGTCTACAACAAAGACTCAATCCCAAGTCAAAAAATAGAACAGTATTTTACTATAAACCAGATTATATTTATTTAAAAGCCAAAAACAATATGAAGCACGAAAACACACAAATTTCAGAGAAGTTTTTGTTTTTAGTCAATCTGATCAATTTTACACAATGAAATACCATTAAGACATACATAGAAACCATGGTATAAAAATATAAGACACATTGCATTACCTTTTTTTTTTTTTTAAAGATTTTATCGATCTATTTGGGAGAGTGAATGACCATAAGCAGGGGGAGCAGCAGAGGGAAGGGGGAAGTAGGCTCCCTGGTGAGTAGGGAGCCCCATGCAGGGCTCGATCCTAGGACCCTCAGAATCATGACCCGAGCCAAAAGCAGATGCTTAACCAGCTAAGCCACCCGGGCACCCCAAGATACATAATACTACTTTTAAAGAAAGTGGAATTATAACTGTAAGAGACAACTTAATACCACAAAAACTATAAGCAGAAATTTAAAATGTAATATGTTAAAAATAATTTTTTTTTTTTTTTTTAGTATTATGCAGCAGGTCTTGGGATGTAGGAATATGGGCAAGTAAAAAGAAGGTTTATAGAGATAAACTTTCTCAGTACTATTTGTCTGATTTCATACATAAAATGTCAAACATTATTATAAGAAATAATATATACGTCTAAGACTGCAATTATACTTTCAAATATAATTATTTTTTTAGAAAGCAGCAATTTTACTTTTTTTTTAAGAAAAAGCTAGTAGTAGCACCTAAAAATAAAAATTACCAGAAACTGAGTAAAACAACTTTACTATGAAAAGATAAATATAATTTAAAAATGAAGCACCTTTCTTTGACTTCAAGAGGAACTATGGGCAAACGCCCTCATCTCTGAATAATCCCATTGGAGAACACTCAGGCTTGTTTTACTTAACAAGAAGAATACATTTCATTCAAAATACTGGCTGTGTTGAAAGAACACAGTCCATGTCCAGATAGGAAGGTAAAATGCAAAAGAGGCAGGTTGACTCATTAGAGTTTATTCACTAATACACTATGCTTTTAAATAGATAATAAAAACAAGTACATACTTTAACTATGGTGATCCTACATAATTTTACTGGTCAGCTACAGTTCACAGAGAAGCAGCATGTTTGCTGTGTTTTATTCTTTTCTTTGCATAGATACAGATTTATCATCTAAATTAAAAGCAGCTAAGAAATATTAAACAACATCAAGATTTAGAGGTTTTGCTTTTCCAAAGTGCTACACAGAATGTCACATTTCAAAATTTAGGAACAAAACCCTAACTCTTGCTATTAAAAAAACATAGTGGTTATCAGGGATCTTCTTGGAAGGTTAAAAAAGAAAAAACAATTATCTTCTCTGTGTTACATCAAATGAGAAACAAAGGTTCAAAAGGCAATCTTAGAGATTTGGCCAAACATATTTTACATATAAGGCATTTGTGACCAAGAGAGATGAAACAGATTACATGCAACCTCCTTATAAGGGTGCTCATATCTCTAAGATGCTCAGAGATCTAGACTGGCTGTAGCCCTTGTCACACCTCTTTTCCTGAGAGTCTGACCCTGACTCCATATACAGGCAGGTACTGACTGACCATGCTGATGAATGAGGGAGTATGCATGGAAAATACAAATCTTATGATTAAAAAAAAAATGTTTTATTTGGTAAAAAAATGAAAATTTCCAAGGAAACTTAGAAACTTGCAAAACAGGGTTTTGACACATATGCACAAGTAAATGTTTCCTTGTACAATAAACACATAGTGTTTCTGTCTGTCTTCCTTTTTGTTTTTAAAGATCAAGAGTATCATTCTTTTCACCTGGAACCAAATTTGTCTCCAGTAACAGGACAAGAGGTAGGAGAGGGAGGACAGGGTTAGGGATAAAAGCTTTATTACTCTATCTCAAAGATTGCTCTAAAAAGCTCACCATTTCATGACCTATTAATGTGAGAGCTCTGGGATTCGTTTTCCCTTATGTCATGGTAAAGTGTTTTCAAGCTTACTGTAATGTGTTTACCTGGTTATTGAGTCATAGCTTTTTCAAGGTGAACGCCTAGTCTACCAGAGGACAAATGGACAGATAAAATCAACTGAAACATGTTTAGATTGTATTCTTGCTCTTACACTCTTAGCCTGTTAGAGCTAATACCCAGTGAAAAAAACCTGCAGAAGCAGACACATATAATTGCAAATAATTCAGGGGATTACAAGCCCGATTCAATTTTCTACTTTTTTTATTAGCCATAATTGCTGATTTGCTGTGTCCATCTATCTTGATGAATGTTGTGGTGGAGACCTTTCAAAATACATGAAGTCCTGAAATTAGAAAAATAATTATAGATACATATATTTATATATATATTATATATAGAGAAAGATAACTGTATGTATATAGATACATACATAATTAGATGCAAAGCATGAAGTATTATCCTCATAATTTATCAGGTGCCCCTGATTCTAATTAAGAATAAATAAATCTAATAAAACCTTTATAAAAAGGACCTAATATGAAGACCAGCAATTACAGACTTGGAACTGTTGGTAGCCAATAATATCTCCCTTTGGGGATTCCGATTAACAAAATCTTCATTGTTAAAAGGAAGAAAAACTGGACAATCAATATTAAATACGTTAAATATACTAACTGCAATATGTTAGCTACATTTTGAAGGTAAATATATCCATTTTATTTCCACGTAACCACTGATCAGTCAGGGTTACAGCAAGGGAACTGTACCTAAATAAATCGAAGGAAGATACAATACCAAGGAGCCCACTGACAGAGAGGTAGCGGGGTGGGGGGAAGGGACATCAGCTTTGGGTTATTGATTTCATTAAGAAGTCATTGGCTAGGCATCTTTAAGTAATGGAAAAGACAAACAACATGCAATGAGGACAAGTATACCCATTGGATGCCCCATATTCTCCAAGTACTCTTCTGGCCCCCCTACTCCTATGATAGCTCACGTTCAGTGCCCTGAACAACGTAAGTATTTTTACCTCCATTTTATAGGTAAGGCAAATGAGGCCTGAAAGTGCTAACCGCTTTGCAAAATACACAACTAGTCAGCGGTAGAGACAGACACTGTCCTAGTTTCAAAGTTTACTGCCTTTCTCTTACACTATAACTGCATCTCATCATAAAGAGTGATTCTCTCAAGACAACTCAAAAGCAAGACTTACAATGAGGAAGCAAGCTCCAAAAATCATGGCTTTCATCTTCACATCCAGGTCTAACGGGAAGTGAATTTCAAAGTGGTCAGCGTCCCCCATTGCTGATAAGAGACCGTTCCACTTCCTAATAATACTGCCGATGCTGGACATGCCATCAAGGGATTTGACCTAGAAAGTAAGAATGTGACTTTAGGATGACTGAAAAATATTATAATATATATTTCACTCTTCTACTTAGAAGCAGCTTGTACTGCCATAGCATAAATACAGGACAGGAAGTAATAAATTACTGTAAAGTAATAGGGAATCATGGCCAAGAAGGCTTAAGTGTCTTGCAACTGGTTAATAACTGAGCTGGGGTATATCTGACAGTTTTGGGGCTGGTGATCTTTCTTCATCCTCAAATGAGGCATGATTTGAATTGATTCTGAAGTTCTTTTTCATACAGTAAAGGGTGGGAATTGGGAAGGAGTCTCTACAGTCTAGGGAAACACATAAGCAAAAGTAAGGAAGCATGGTTCTATGTACTTCACAAACTTCAAATGATCATTCAAGTTTCTGTGTGCCAAATCCACCCTGTCTTCTTAAAGCATGTAAGAATTCCGAGGGGCTTCAGCTTCCAAAAGGGGGATTCTGACTCTTGCCAGAGGGACAATACCCAAATACTAACTTTGGGTGATCAAAATGACCCTATACACCTGTCCCTAAAATCTGGCTTATCTATATTTTCTATTTCTCTACAATGGTCTTTTAATAAATAAGCAATACTTAACTAAAAAAAGAGTTTATTGGGTGTCATAGGAAATATATGAATGAGCAAATTTAGATAATGAGGCTTGCCGAAATTGCAAGGCATTCAAGAAGGATTCTCTAAGAAGCTCAGGAAATATTTCTAGGAATCTCCTTTGTCAGATTTGTAAGATAATAGGCACTCATTTTGGAGTCACTGGGATAGAGGCAAAACAAGAGGATTTTTCATTTTTCTGAGAAAATATAACCTATTATGAGTTTTATCCTTGTTATCAGTGTTATCCTATCTCATAAGGACACAGACAATTTCTACCATGCAAATAAACAATATGTACAATCTCGGGGTACTCCAAATGTCCTGTGATATGTGGGGTACTTTCATCACTCAGGACCTACATCCCAATCCTGCAAATCGTTGGTAAAAATGGTTAATTAAATCTAACCAAGAAGAAAGAAATGGATTCAGTTGGGCTATTTACTTTCAGGTTTAGTGTTTTAAATGGTTTCTTCTTATCTTTATCAAACACTGAAATCATAAAAAAAGTAGCTCACACTTTGGAAAACTGTAAGCAATCCACGAACAATACATTGAAAATGATTTGATGTCAACCAATAACCCTTTCCTCATTCTGTTTTATTCATTCACATGAAAACATAATCTGAAACCAACTCATTCCCAGGTCTGTTAGTACATGTAGAAAAATAGTAAAATTGTCATTTTTACATTTGTTTACCTCAAAAACCGAATCCGAACCACAGCCGTAGGTTGAACATGGCCCGCGCACTCTCATCACATTGTCTTTCTTCTCATTCTGGATGCTGTAAACTGCCCTGCACAGGTTCCAGTGTTCCGCAACAAAGCCAATGGTGACACCGGGAGGACACTGTACCTCCAGCTGCAAATGAGGAAGTGACAGAGGGGAGGAAGCTATGCACCAACGTATATGTGGACACACCACCTAGATGTGCTCTGAAGTCTTTCAAGGACTAGAAACAATGTTACTGGTAGAGAGTCTTCCATTTTACCCAGGTTCGCTCTTATGGCTGTAGGTGAGAATAGCCTTGAGAGCTGAGGTCACCTTTCCCATGGGAACAAAAGGACTGCTTGCCATAAAGGACAGTTCTCGAAGCTCAGTATTGCTCAGCTGTATGCAGCACCTGCTTGGGCTCCTCTGATTCAACCCTATAGACCTTGGAAGCAAGGGGACTGACCCCACATACTGCTCATGGCACTCATGCTGTTTACTGTGCTGTAGTAACGTTCTTTGTCTCGGCTCTAGGTGTCTCACGTCTTCTGGCACAATTCATGACAAAGTAGCAAGGTAACATCTTAGATTTGAATCTCAGACAAGAAAATTATAAGAGAAAACAGAAAGAGGCATTCTGAAAACTGAATATTGTGAAAACAACAGAATGTGTGAGTGAATATATAAAGCCATTTTATTTGTTTATTTATTTGACAGAGAGTGCAGCAGAGCGAGAGGGAGAAGCAGGCTCCTCACTGAGCAGAGAGCCTGATATGGGACTGGATCCCAGACCCCAGGATCATGACCTGAGCTGAACGCAGACATCTAACCTACTGAGTCACCCAGGAGCCCCTATAAAGCCATTTTAAAAAGAGTTTCAAAATTGTCCATGGCCCTGTTTTAGCTAAACATCTTTACAATATTCCTTTGTGAAGAACTAAGATCTTCATATTTATTAATAACAAGAGTCACAAAATTAAATTATTTAGTAAAAGCCCAGAGTTAAAGTTCTACTGGTAGCTTTTCTGGTGTCATATATAGTTTTCTAAGAGTTTTGAGTCCACTAGATCTCAGCATGGGGCAGTACCACATAGCTTCATGAACTGTCAAGTCAAGATACAATGTTTTAAAAAAGATATAACTGTTCATATATATACATTCACACATATACATAAGCATACACATTTGATAGCTGCCTAGCATTAAGATCTTATACAAGTATAGGCCTAAGAGCTAAAAAAAAAAAAAAAACCCCACAAAACTGTATACAAATAAATTACTTAAAAGATTTATTTGAAGGGCGCTTGGGTGACTCAGTCTATTAAGCATCTGCCTTCGACTCAGGTCATGATCCCAGGGTCCCAGGATGGAGCCCTGTGTCAGGCTCTGGCTCAGCGGTAAGCCTGCTTCCCCCACTCTCACTCCCCCTGCTTGCATTCCCTCTCTCACTATGTCTCTCTTTGTCAAATAAATAAATAAAATCTTTAAAAAAAAATTCATTTGAGAAGAAAACCCAACTCATGAATATGAAGAATTCCTAGTATATCCCAAAGGACTAAGAATTAAAGGTGAAGATTCATCTCAACTATCAGGCCATTATTACAAAAACAGTAATGATAGAGGAGGAAGACACCTGGGAACAACGTTCCCTGAGCACTGTACTATCTGCCAGGTACTGTAATGAACAGTTAACATTTATTTACTACTTAATCCTCAAAGCAATCCTGTTTACAGGTGCTATTATTACCTCCATCTTATAGGAAATCAAAACACAGAAAAGGTTGTAAATAAATTAACATTTAGTATGTGCTGGCACTTACTATGTCTTTAAAATATCCCAGGAATCCTATGGGGTATTGTCACGCATATTTATGGGTCTATGCTCACAGGGTAAGACAATTCTTTACCTTAAGCTCCAGAGAATAGTTTCATTGTCTGGAACTCGGGTAGTTTAAAATGTGGCCACAACATTCTTTGACATTACTCCTCTCCTCTTGAATATAGGCCCTCAAATCAAGGTTTACTTCTCATTGTCATCTTGCTCTGAAAAGATTTATATTTCAGCTTTATTCGCTTCTACTGAGTCAGCCAAGTGAACCTTGATCGAGTTCTCTGGTGCCTAGGTTTCTGTGCCCAGGTGCCAGTAGTGTGGCACTGAGTTTTTGTTGTTATTGTTGTTTTTCAAGTATTTACCAATTTGAAGAAGATTTCCCAACCTAGAAATGAATAAAGTCACTAACTACTCCTGTCTATAATAAATGTAAAGGTCTAGGCTCAGATATAAGAAATCTTCTGCCCTATAAACAAGCCCTTGTTATCTTTTATTCATATGCCATTCCTGATACAACAGCAAAGAAGATAAGAAGTTCTATCAACAACCATCCCTCCTCCCTTCCAGAAACTATTGACAGAGCCTCAGGTCGACCATTGACCAACTGGGGTGTCCTTGTTTTCTCTTTGTAACAAATGTCCAAAACCATACAGTAAACTTCCATCTCCTCGACCGGTAATCATCTACTAGCAGTCAGTTGTTCTGAGATGGAAATGAGTCCAACTAACATCTCCCAGGCTCCCAGGCCTACTTCTGAGACATCTGTTGGATTCCTAACCATAGCCTCCAGACAGGGCTAGCCAGGAAAGCCCTCTCCAAAAAAAAAAAAAAAAAAAAATTGGTGAAGAGAAAATTATTCTTGGATTTATATCCCAAGAAAATCACCAGAAGTTAAATATCTCTTGCTAAAGGCTTAGAAGACCATAAGAGCAAGGAGTCAAGCTGAATATATATAATTTGCTGTATTCTTTTTTTTTTTAAAGATTTTATTTATTTATTTGTCAGAGAGAGAGCACAAGCAGGCAGAATGGCAGGCAGATGCAGAGAGAGAAGCAGGCTCCCTGCTGGGCAAGGAGCCTGATGCGGGATTCGATCCCAGGACCCTGGGGTCATGACCTGAGCCGAAGGCAGTGGCTTAACCGACTGAGCCACCCAGGCGTCCCAAATTGCTGTATTCTTAAAGAAAAATCTTCTTTTTTTGTCTTATGGTTAATGGATATTTCTGAATAAATAATAAACTTCCTTCAAAGTAGCCATCAGGGCTAGGGACACAATTATTCTAATGATGCTATTCTAATCCATACCTTTTAAAATTCCTCTTTTGGAATTATCTTTATAGAGGCCATGTTATTTTGCCTATATTCAATGCCTCTAGTTAATATTTATTTAGTCCCTGCTTCTTGCTAGACACTGTTACACACAATGAAGATATAGTGGTAAACATGAAACACAAAATCCCTGCCTTCTCTGAAACTATTATAAACAAATAAACAAACAAATAATATTTCTGATGGTGTTAAGTGCTGACAAGAAGGAGAAAGTGAAACTTTCATCAAAGCCATCTATGAAAAACCCACAGCGAATATCATTCTTAATGGGGAAAAACTGAGAGCTTTTTCCCTAAGGTCTGGAACACGGCAGGGATGTCCACTATCACCACTGCTATTCAACATTGTAGTAAAAGTCCTAGCTTCAGCAAGCAGACAACAGAAAGAAATAAAAGGCATCCGAATCATCAAAGAAGTCAAACTCTCGGCAGATGATATGATACTTATATGGAAAACCCAAAAGACTCCACTCCAAAACTGCTAGAACTCATACAGGAGTTCAGTAAAGTGTTAGGATATAAAATCAATGCACAGAAATCAGGTGTATTTCTATACACCAACAGCAAAACAGAAGAAAGAGAAATTAAGGCGTCAATCCCATTTACAATTGCACCTAAAACCACAAGATACCTAGGAATAAACCTAACCAAAGAGGCAAAGAATCTGTACTCAGAAAACTCTAAAGTACTCATGAAAAAAATTGTGGAAGACAAAAAGAAATGGAAAAACCTTCCATGCTTATGTATTGGAAGAACAAATATTGTGAAAATGTCTATGCTTTCTAAAGCAATCTACACATTTAACACAATCCTTATCAAAATACCAACAATTCTTTTTCAAAGAAATGGAACAAATAATCTTAAAATTTATATGGAACCAGAAAAGACCCTGAATAGCCAAAGGAATGTTAAAAAAGAAAGCAAAGTTGGTGGCATCACAATTCCAGACTTCCAGCTCTATTACAAAGCTGTAATCATCAAGACAGTATGGTACTGGCACAAAAACAGACACATAGATCAATGGAACAGAATAGAGAGCCCAGAAATAGACCCTCAACTCTGTGGTCAACGAATCTTTGACAAAGCGGGAAAGAATGTCCAAGTAAAAAGACAGTCTCTTTAACAAAGGGTGTTGGGAAAATTGGACAGCCACATGCAGAAGAATGAAACTGAACTACTTCCTTACATCACACACAAAAATAGCCTCACAATGGATGAAAGACCTCAATGTGAGACAGGAACCCATCAAAATCCTTGAAGAGAACATAGGCAGCAATCTCTTCGACTTCAGCGGCAGCAACTTCTTCCTAGAAACATCACCAAAGGCAAGGGAAGCAAGGCAAAAACGAACTATTGCGACTTCACCAAGATCAAAAGCTTTTCCACAGCAAAAGAAAGAGTCAACAAAACCAAAAGACCACTAACGGAATGGGAGAAGATATTTGCAAATGACATATCAAATAAAGGGCTGGTATCCAAAATCTCTAAAGAACTTATCAAACTCAACACCCAAAGAACAAATAATCCAATCAAGAAATGGGCAGAAGACATGAACAGATATTTTTGCAAAGAAGACACCTAGATGGCCAACAGACACATGGAAAAGTGCTCAACATCACTTAGCATCAGGGAAATACAAATCAAAACCACAATGAGATACCACCTCACACCAGTCAGAATGGCTAAAATTAACAAGTCAGGAAATGCCATATGTTGATGAGGATGCAGAGAAAGGGGAACCCTCCTACACTGTTCGTGGGAATGCAAGCTGGCGCAACCACTCTGGAAAACAGCATGGAGGTTCCTCAAAAAGTTGAAAATAGAGCTACCCTATGACCCAGCAATCGCACTACTGGGTGTTTACCCTAAAGATAACAAATGTAGTGATCCAAAGGGGCATGTACACCCGAATGTTTATAGCAGCAATGTCCATAATAGCCAAACTATGGAAAGAACCTAGATGTCCATCAACAGATGAATGGATAAAGAAGATATGGTATATGTATATGTGTGTATAAATATATATATGTATATATATAAATATATATATATGGAATACTATCCAGCCATCAAAAGAAATGAAATCTTGCCATTTGACATGATGTGGATGGAACTAGAGGGTATTATGCTAAGCGAAATAAGTCAATCAGAGAAAGGCAATTATCATATGATCTCATTGATATGAGGAATTTGAGAGGCAGAGCAGGGGGTTGTGGGGGGTAGGGAAGGAGAAAAAGAAACAAGATGGGATCAAGAGGGAGACAAAGCATAAGGGACTCAATCTCACAAAACAAACTGAGGGTTGCTGGGAGGTGGGGGGTAGGGATAGGGTGGCTGGGTCATGGACATTGAGGAGGGTATGTGCTATGGTGAGTGCTGTGAAATGTGTAAGCCTGATGATTCACAGACCTGTACCCCTGGGGCAAATAATATATGTTAATAAAATAAATAAAATAAAATAAAGGAGAGAGTGATTTGGGAGACTGGAAATATTTTAGACAGAGGGGTCAAGGCATGCCTTTCTGAACAGGTGAAATGTGAAGAAAAGGAACAAGCTTCCTTAGGATCTGGGAAGAATGATCTAGGGCCCTGAGAGAAAACTGAGATTGCTTCGTAACATATGGATAAATGGAAAGCTACTGGAGGATTTTCAGAAGGGCGTAACTTAATTTGGTTAATCTTTGAAAATGGATTTGAGATAAGTGGGTGAGTGTGGTGAGCCATTCAACTGAGTCATAGAATTTATGGTACAGACTGAATTTTGTAGCTGGGGAGTCATTTTTAAAATATGATTTCCAAAACTGTTGTTAGCAACAGAGGAAGACCTTAGAAGATTCTCCACACTAACCCCACCCTAAGTCCTTATGAAGAATAAATATCTTGTTAACAATGAATATGTATATAAGGGCAGTTAAGTTTGTAAAGAATTTGTCTAAGAATTGGACATATGAATTATATAAAGATAGATAATAGAGCTACTTAAGTTTTTTGTTTGTTTGTTTTTTAGGAGGGTTAAATGTGCTGTTTGATTTTTTTTCTTTAAAGATTCATTTATTTCAAGAGAGCACACGCCTGAACAGAGGGAGGGGCAGAGGGAGAGAAGCTCAAGCTGACTCCCCGCTGAGCATAGAGCGCTACTAGGGGCTTGATCTCACAACCGTGAGATCATGACCTAAGCTGAAACCAAGAGTCAGATGCTCAACCAACTGAACCACCAAGGCCCCCTTATGCTGTTTCATTTTTTAAAAATTTTTCATGAAAACTGTAATAGTACACTTGAATCTAGAGCTTGTCTAAATAAACACATACTCAAAATTAGAAGAGCCTAACATAATGCAGTCTCCTTGAACCCTAAAAACAGAATTTGGTCTGGTTCATAAGGGGAACTTATATTAAATGGCTAATCTCTCTAGACATATGGAAATATGACATCCATACACATTTTTTTTCCATTTCACTTACTTTACCACTCAGACTTTGGGAATCTTCCCGTAAGTTGTCTATGACTCATCCTTGCATCAGATGACTTAATGCTTCCATCTGACTAAGAGAAGGGAACATGATTATTTAAGAAATCCACCATCCCCACTCAGGA